AGTACAGATATGCTTGTGACAAAAATCTCTCAATTCTTGTATGAAAAGTCCCTTATTCTGCCTTCATTTTTAAATGATATTTTCTCCGTAGATGCAATTTAGGGTGGACAAGACCTTTTCTTTCATTGGGACTAAATGTATCCTCAGTCTGAACCCATGCTAGAGGTACAAGATTCTTTCACTTTGTTACTGTACTACAACAGTTAGATGTGTCCAATTTAAAATGTCCATTTTCAAATCTATTTTAAACTTACCTATCACAAACACCAAGGCAAATGGAGTTCCCTAGTTCTGTTATTTGAGGATTTCATGGAGAAATATTTCCAATTGAAATGTCCAAAACTGCAAAGGTCACAGCTAGATGAAAAGACTCTGTTCGCCCTATGCTGGCAAATGCCACCCAGTTTTGCCTGATTTGGGGTTATAGACCTAGAAGTTATGAGAATAAAATAGCAGTCTGTAGACCAGCTTGTGCCCTTGAATTCTTAGTTTGCCCTCTGGTCCTTCTCTTTTCTTACTTGGAGGCTGGTGTGGGAGTAACTCATTAAAACAATACTAAGAGAGCCACCCAGTTCTTTATTTGGGAGCAGCCCTGAGGTCTGGACAGTCTAATCACTCCATACTTGGATTTAGTGTGCTTTTCATTCCTTTTACAATTTGTTCCTGAAAGACATCCTACGAGGTGGAACAGACCTATTGTCCCTGTTTGACAGTTAAGGAAATTGAGGTTCTGCACTCCTTCCAACTCTGAGAGTTGATTAGCTGCAGAACTGGAATCAAGATGCCCATCACCCAAGGTACTTGTCAATCACTTAGCCACAAAGACAATTCCTGTCTTGGCTAAGTCATTAAAGCAAGGTCGGAGAAGCCTTGTGTAGCAGCTTTCAATACTATTCTCAGAGAAACTGTCAGTTGTAAAGAGCAGTTTATGAAGGCCAAAATCTTACGTTACATACTTAAATTACATGGGCCTCAGTGATTTTTTTTTTCTATTTCTGCTCTGCACTCAGGCAAGTTTTCCTTTAAAATTCTTGACTTAAAAATCTTAAAGTTCATCTAAGAAATGTATTCCTCCATCACTAATGTCAGCAGTTAATAGCCCTTACTGTTTGAAATTTTCTATTTATGTCAAACAAATTTCTCACATTTCAGTTTACATTCATTTTCTTCCCCTCTTCTTCTCCCTCAAAATTTTGAACAGCTGGCCTCATTCAGGACATAATAGCTCTTCTACCATTATGGCCTACTTGACCCAATCCAATCCAGCCTTCTCTTCTCTGGCCAAATAATGGCAGGGCTATTTAGCCTCCCAAGTCCTGTATTTCCATCCTTTGATCTAAATTGTGCTTCTTCTCTCAATCCTCCCATTGGAGGCCCAGAATGACAATAGCTCCATCTTCTAAAAAGCACACTGAGGCCTTTCCAATGAGAGGTCACAAAGCCTGGGGTTCCCATCCCAGGCCCTGGGATTAGCATATTTCCTACATTGTGATGGATGTCAGTTCTCTGCTGGGAAGGACACCTGTCCCCACTCTGTCAGTTCAGGGGCAGTTGGCAGACTGACTTACTGAACTCACAAAATCAACCTGAGAAAGTGGGTCAGGGGTTGATTGCATGCGGTGACAGCTTTAGGATCGCGTTAGGCTCACCTTGCGGGAAAGACATGCATGTCTTGGGGCAGGGCAACAGGGGTTAATGGGAAATTGCCATATGAGATTGCTGAAAATCATGGAACACTGGGAGAGCTGACCCTTCTGGACTGATCTGAGCAAAGTGCCAACTGTTGGAAGAACCAGCTGAGTCAAGTGGAGGCAATTTCCTATGGTTGGTCCTTAAAAGAAAGAAACAAAACAAAAGCTATGTTCATTTGTATCATTAGTACATTTTTGCAGTACATAATGATTAAATTCATTGTGAGGAGTTGGTATAGACACAGAACATATCTTAATTCTCTTTTTTATCTCTGCCCCTCCTTTCCTCCCACCTTCCCTCCATGTCCTGGCCTCCTTCCCTTTTGTAAAAGTTCTGTCTCCCTCTTTATTATCTATCTTTTATTTTGTTCTTTATTTATAGTTTCCCTGGGCAAAAAGAAAGATACTTTTGGGCTGGGGATTTAGCTCAGTGGTTCCGCCCCTTGCCTCACAAGCACAAGATCCCGAGTTTGATCCCCCGTACCAAAAAAAAAAAAAAAGATACTTTCATTGCTCTTAATTTTTTATTGCTTTTAATTTTAAGTAACACTTTAAAATCAGGATATCTGGCAGCTTTTCACTGAAACTTGTATTTCCTACTCTAGTTCAAAGCATTGCCTCACCCTCAGGTGCACCCAAAACCAAATGTTGGCAGAGAAAGTTTTATAAAGTAAAAAGATGCTATACTTGGAAGCCTCTTTTTCTTAAACTTGACAAGTTGGCATATTGCTTTTTGACTAGGGTTTTCTCCAGCATAAACTCATTTGGTTCAGGGACATGAAGTATGTCTCACAAAAAGCTTAGGGTGTGAGTCTGGCCTCGGTCAAAATCTTGTCAGATGATAACAAAACTATCTGTAGAAATCGTCCACATTGTGGCTATTTCAACACAACCCCAAACTAACTTTTTCCCATGATGCTAAAGTCAATTATTGTCCACGCCAAGTGCCAAGGTGGGTATTAGCCGTCTTCCTAGCAACCACAGTGTAACAATAAGCAGGGACACAAATATTTTATATTTGGGCATTTTCAAGAAGTCTGGTTTCTGTTTGCTGTGATCCTTCTCACCAAGAGCACAAAGAACAGATTCTTTTTCTCTTTTAAGAGGGCCAAGTTCTCAAAAATCCTGAAGGCAATTCTGTGAGCATGAAAATATTGCTCCAAAAATAGATGGGTTTTTTCCTCAATAGTTTGACAGGTGATTTTTGAAAGACACATCCAAAGATTATCTGTGTTAAACTCATATGGGGAATTCCCTGTGTCCTGGATTGTGGAAAAGAGGGCACATGTGTTTGCTAGCAAAGATGACAAGAATAGCACTTCCAATAATTTTGTTCTCTGAAAGAAGGGACTGACTGCATCTATTTCTTTCCTCCTGGACCCAATATCTCACACTGTGCCTGACACACAGACAGGTAGTCTGGATATTTCTTAAGTGCATGCATGATAACATACCATCTTATTATATATAGATATTAGATATATCCATTCAAAATAAATGCATAATTTCATAAGTAAAAAAATTGTTTAAAAAATAGGAGAAATATAAAATAGTTGTTTAAAAAAGTTTCATGAAGATATATAGTTGCAGCGTAATATTTGAAAAAGAAATAAAATGCTACTTTGAAGTTGAGCTTTGCTTTGGGGATTGGAGTTCAGATGAATTAAGGAAGCTGCAAATTATTTGTGTGTTCTGAGCCCAATGGGTCACTGGAACCCCTGGTGACCAAACATCCTTGTTCAAAGTAAGAGCCAGAGCCCCTTTGACCTTTGAATGTATTATCTGAAGGAGTTATGGTCAGCTGGCTCCCCAGTGACCTGGGCCTGCAGCTGCTCTGCCAGCTGGCCCTCATGTGCTTGCAGCAGAGTACTTGGAAGGGACTCATGGCCTTACCAGATGCCTTGTTGAAGGCTCCAGCTGATCCCCCACACAGTGCAAACCATTACATGCTTCATATAAAATGACCTGATTTGGATGTCATAGCTGTTTATTTAAATATAGCAAGTGAGCATCTTATTTTGTATTTTAACTTTCCAAAGGTGTGAGCTGTCAGTCCCATGGCTATTGGCAACAGCCAGATCTCAGATGGCAAGCATTTCATGTATGCCATATCTTTGGATGTGGCAGGTACTAACAGCAACTTTAATAATCCACTTCTTCCAGTATGAACCAAGGCAGCATCAAAGAGGGCTACAGATTTAATTGACCTGCATAACCACTAAATCAGTCTGCGGACATAATTTCACCAATGCAGCTTGGTTTGTGTATTTACTGATTTGTAAAATAGCTAAGCTTACAGTACACATACTGTAGGTCAAAGTTCAGTGCCAAGGAGAGATGAGAGCATCCTATCTCCAACCTTATGACTCAATGGGCCACTGGAGGAACCATTAGCCAGGATCTGCATCTACTCCTGAATTTTAGATGTAATTTAACTCACCTGACAAGTTAACTCATGTGTTAAAGAATATATAAAAATAGACTCTTTCCTTTTAAGTTTGTGTGCTGTAATAGTCCACCCCCTATCAACTCCCTATAGGAAAAAAATCTGATTTTTCCATAGTAAAATTATCAGACAGGTTACTATTAAAATGACCTAACCAGGGAAAACTACAACCTAATGTACACGATGAGAAGGTGGTAGTAGGGAGATTGGATCATATATTACATAGACGAGTGGTTATACAAAATACCTTTTAATAGACACAAAGGTGAACCTAATTACATGAATCAATTACATGCTTTATTTCAGTGCAACAAAGAATGGCCCAAATTTATCCTCCCTATTTTTGCACCACTGTGTTTTTGGTGTTTTTTTTTTTAGTTTTTTTGCCCTTTGCTTTTCAATGACAATGGGAACATTGCATGGCCTTTGGGATAAATAATTCCACTTGAGTAATTTGCCATGTGGAAATCAAAGGGAACAGGTTTCAATGTGGAAAATGTTTTAACCTCAGAAAACCAAAAGGAAGGCTCAATTTAAAATGGCACCTTGTCTTTTGAATCATGGAATATATATATTCCAGAGACAGAGACAGACAGACAGACAGACACACACACACACACACACACACACACACAGTGAAAGAGAGAGAGCCAGAGAAAGAGAGAATGAATAAATTAAACCCTGGGTCCATATATTTCAAACTTTGGTAAATTAGACCTTACCTAATGCATGTTTCATAAATAACTTCAGAGAATTTATGACTTGAGAACTGATGGCAGTTCATAGGGCTCCAAAGTTATGACAGAAATTGGTATAGTATGACATTTAGTATGTCATTGATTTTTCTTGGATCATATCCTGTGTGTTTATGCTTCTGTAGAAGAATACATTAGTGACAACTATTATGTGCAAAGCCCCAAGGGCATCAGGATAATGAGATGTCCTTGGGTTCTTATTCATGATACAGTGTTCATCTCCCAACAAATGGTGTAAACTAAGATAACTCTCCAATGACCAAGTTTTTAACTCTTACAGGAGAGTGGAAGAATCTAGTGTCTTTTGCGACCAAATGTAACATAAATAGTAAAGCAGACTGAGAGAGAATGGGACAAAATGAAGATTACAATGCCTATCTCAAGGACTGTGATGCCTCTCTGCTTCTCATTATTATGAAATAACATTAGGTGAGCCCAATGTTGCTTGATTTTCCAACTTTTCAAGGAAAGCTAGAAAATAAGACTTTTATCTTCTGGCTTATTAAAATCAGCTCATTCAAAACAGCTTTTGTCATTATGTAAGTTGTTGATTTGCACCCACCTGTGAGAAATAGTATATAGAAAGATCCCATACACCCCTGTTTCTGTTTTCCCTAATGGGAATATCATGTGTAACTATAGTAAATCACAACTAGGGAACTGATATTGATACAACCTTATTGGCTCATTATTTTTAAATTCTATGCACTGAGCAAAAGCTATATGAGGGCCAGTGTTAACCTGTTTTACCCTTTCTGTTTGTAACCTGCTCCTCCTCAAAGGACAATAACCATTCTTACCAAGCAGACAAGATCACGGAAAGATATGTGTGTCATGGAGAAAAAGATTTAAAGGAACATCCCATGCTTTGGTCCCTATGGCTGAAGCTGGCAAAGCTATTTAGCACTTTTCTGGGAGATAGACTTTGCCTGCTCCTTCCTTCTTCGATGCTTTTCTAGTCTTTCAGTCTGCATCCTACCCTCTCCAGCCAGTTAGTGGGTGCCCACCTTGTCCTCTGACATTTTCATCTTCTCTTCCTCCTGTGCATCACTATGTTCTGGCCTCAGCTTCCATTTGACCCTTCAGTCTCTGGCCTCAGATGCCCTCAGGGCTCATGGGTTTATCTATTTACCTTCTTCAAATTCTTTCCTAGCTCCTTCTGGTTTCTTCTTCCTCCTCACCAAAGGCACACCATTTTAGCAACGTTCAAGGTAGTGGATACACAAAGTATCTGTGCTGAAATTTTCAAATCTTAAAGATTGCTTTAAATAAAGTGAGTCACAATTTACAAATTACAATTGTGAAAGTTTTTTTAAGTAACATCATAAAAAGTCAGTTTTCTGCTATGTAGCTTTAAGCCCTCTGGGGGTATGTGGTGTCATAAAGTTTTACATTGTTTTGGATAAGAAATAATACTTTATATTTCCTTCCATTTTATAAAAGTGAAGGAAAAGTTAAAGTTTTCACTGTTTTCCAGTTAATTGATTGTTTCTTGATTGCTCTCATAGATGGCGTTTTCAGTGTAAGTACAGGAATAGTACAGGAATATCTTCAAAGTCACCACAGTGAAGGTCATTCCTGGCTATCAGTACATGACAGAAGGTGGGAAAAGACATCTTGCCACATTCACAGAAGCCCAGGGGTTTCTAAATGTGAAGGCTGAGATCAGAATAAGGACTCAGAGTTATAAGTGGCATGTGAGGAAGGAAAAGAATGGGTCAGAGCCTGATGACCACATTGTACATAAGTGAGTGTCCTTGTTTTTTCCTATAGTGGTCTGGGTGGCTAACAACAGAGACTTTTTCTCTTGTAAGTCTGAAGGCCAGCAGTCTGAGATGGCGGCACCAGCATGGTTGGGTTCTGGTGAGGGCCCTCTTCCAGACCGCAGACAGCTGATCTCACAGGTGAGAAAGAGAGTTCTCTTTGGGGACTCTTTCCTAAGGACAGTAATCTTGTTCATGAGGGCTCCATCCTGATTTAATTACCTCCCAAAGGTCACACCTTCTAGTGTCATCACCTTTGGGACTAGGATTTTGACATATTAATTTCAGATGGACATGGACATTCAGGAAGTAACAGTAATACTGTAACCAGTGGTAGATCAGTCTCTCTTCACAGTCAGCTCTCTTCTCTCCATTGTTTCATCTTCCAGTATTGTAGATGAGCAGCAGCTGGGGGCAAGAAGCACAAACCTTAGTTTGAATTTGAAACTCCTCAAATGACAATGACCATTGTCACTTAGCAGACAAGATGACTGAAGGATATGTGCATCATGTAGAAAAAGTAGAGGAGGAAGAAGGAATATATATATATATATAAAATATATATGGATGTATATGTGTATACATGCACACACACACATACACACACGCACACACACAACTTCAGTACACCTAAAGTTGAATCTTCCTGGAGCTAGCCATTTCATTTCTGAACTTCCACACTGTTGAGTTCATACATCTTTGGGCTTATTCCACTTTTACCAATAAGAGAAATAGATGTTGGAGAAGTGAGCACCATTACCCATGGGCCTTCCTTTCTCCTCTCCCAATGAGATCAGAACTCACAAACATATTCTCACCCACACTTTGTTTCATACTACCCCTAGCTTCTCTGTACTTTGTTATCACTTCTACTCTGAAATCTCAGTCTGTAATGGGTCTGACCAGTGAAGGACCACATTTCTCCTTCCCACACCTACCTTCTTGACCCATGGCCAAAGCTGGATTCTGACCTTCCTGCTACTGCTCTGTGTGACACAGACAAGGGATGAAGTCTTTGGACTTCCATTTTCACATCTGAAAATAAAAACAACTAAAATGGATCATTATTATTTCATGTTGTAGGTAACTAAAAACTTACGCTAATAGAAGTTCAGGAAACATTTCCAAGATCCCACAGCTGATTAGTAGTATGGCAGTTCTGATAGTAATGGGATTTCAAGCATCTATCACAGACTGCCCAAGAAAAAAGAAGTGGATTCCTGTTGGCCCTTTAAATTGAGTCATTTAAATTTCTGGATTCTGTTGTTAACTGCTAATGGCCATGATCCTCCCCAACACAGGTTCTGATTTACTCTTCCATAGGTGGAGAGTTTAAATATTTACAATTTTTAAAGCACCCAAAATGACTTTAATATGGGTTAAGAAAGACCTATCTACATCAGTGATTCTGTAATTTAGGTTGCAACCGAATCATATAGAGGGGTTGCCAAAATATAGTTCACAGGTCTTTATTCCCAGAATTTCTGATTCTGTAAGTCTGAGTTGGGCCTGAGAATTTTCTTTCTTTTTTCTTTCTTTTTTTTTTTTTTGTTAAATTCTTTTATTGGTACATTGTAGGTATACAACACAATTACATTTCTCATTGGGA